GTGAGCACAGAAATCTGAACCTTGCCAAAACGCTTTGGGGACAGCACAGAAAGGAAACAGAAGAGGCAGCAAATCAGCAGAGGAAGGGACACACACACACACACACACATCTCCTCCTCCTCTAGCTGGAGAGAGCAACAGACAGGAGAAAAGCAGGATTCTCCCCCTCTCCAGCTGGCGTCACACCTCATTAGGAGGGAAAAGAGCTGGCAGGGGTGGGCTGGGAGGGAAGAACCGGCTGCCCCAGGCTGGCCTCAGGCCTTCCCGCCCCACGCCAGGCACACGGGCAAGGTACGGGTTATCCCCTCCGGTGGGCCGCTGGCCAAGGTTTTAGTCCGAAACGAACGCTGCTCCCCCAGAGCTGCTGTGAACACGTATTAAATCCTGCTATTACCTGTGTTTTGTTGCAATTTTTACTTCAGTCTGCTCTTAACATGCAAGTGCTGTGGCCTCTGCACATGTGATGACCCAAACACCACGCCGCCCGAAGAATACTCCTTTTTGGTATCTGCCCAGACTTTTGAGAGGAAAGACGGTCGACTTCCCAGGCAAAAGTAAATGAACGAGTCCACAAATGTGACAGCAGTGACACCAGTCACCAACACCAACGCAGAGGTGATGGCAGGGCTGCTGCGTGTGCTGGCTTTTGGAATTGTGGAAGGCTCAGTCTTCAGCTCCTAGCAAACTGTCCTCTCGGAGGGCGGCCTCACAAAGCTAGGGGCCCTTGTTTCAGAAGACAGGCTCCTCCAAAGCTACAGGGAAGCCCAGCATGTGCGAGAGCCTGGCGTGAGCAGGCTGGGTGCTGAGGTACAGGACTGCAGTTCAAAGGCCTCCTTTCTGCTGGAGCTGAATCATCTATAACCGAATCTGATGGACATAACCAGTTTAAGCACAGCTAAGCCTTGTCCACGTTAGACATCAGTTTAAAAACCCCAATCCCCTCAGCTCTATTTCCATACCACTGTTGTTATCAGCTTTCCATTGCAATGCTCCCAAGTGACTCAACAGGCTTTTGCAGAGGCTTTAGGAGATCACCGAAAGCTACCAGTGGGCTGTGCTGAGCCAGCCCCAACCCCTGCATTGAAATTTCAACGCCGTCACTGAATCGAGTCAGGACGTTCTTTTCCCCTCACAGATAATTAATGACAACAGGTACCTGGGCAAGAGTTAGATGAATTCATGCAAAAGAGTACAGTTACTGGGACTGGGCAGGAACGGGAAGTCAATTGCAGGTCTGAATTGCTTCCAATAAGCATCAGTTACCCCTGCGTTGCCTGGAGCCAGTGTGCGTGCTTCACATCTCCAGCTAGGAGCTCCTGCTGTCCTCCCCACCGAAGAGCTGGATGTCCCCTGGCCCAAGGACACAAGGACTCGGTGAGGGACCAGCACTCGCCCCAACATGTCCCAGAGAGGAAAGCATAGAACCCCCACCTTTGAGCCACAGAGCACACCCAAGCCGACTGACCCAAAGCAGCAGCAAAAGGACAACGCAATGAAAAAGTGGGATGTGATGCCAAACCTGAGGTGACAGGATCCAGCTACACCACAGGCTGGTTGTTCTGCCAAACCCCAATCTCAGCTTGTTGGTCTGTCCGTGCACTTAGCCCCTAGGACGTACTCAGCATGCCTGCAAAAACCATGCCCCTGCCCAGCAGCCAGAGTGCCTTCTGCAGCCCAGCGCCACGCTCTCTTAGCTTGCAATTGCTGCCATCATATGGAAATAGCTTGCAAAATATGAAACCTATGGAGACTGCCCCACTTGGCATGACAAGCTGGGAGGGCATTGCAGGGAATTAGGGGTGTTCCTAGGGCCATGATACCCTAGAATTACAAACAGCAGTGGGTTTAGATGGCTGCCATAAAGTCAGAAAGAAGTTACAGTTTCGGGTCCTGATCAAGTCTCCCAGCCAGGTTATCATAATTTTAGTGGCTGGTTGAAGACACTACCCATTACCTCAATCTACAGTCAGAAGTGTGCCTCCTAGCTTCCCCACAGTCCTGCAGGAGCCTGCACTCTCTCTCTATAAGTTGTTCCAGGGCTTCCTGAGCCAAAAGCTGCCCCCCGCCTCCCCCGCCTGCCTTCTTGGCTCTGCCTTTGCGCTGTAGGGAGAGTGGATGCTGAACACACTCCCTGAGTTCCTGACAGCAGGGACCAAGTCAGCAGCTCTCCTCAAGGAAAAATCATCATCTTCACATCACCCCCTGGGGACCATGAGATCAGGGGAGCCAAGCTGGCTTTCTACAGTAGCTCTGGGGGCACGAGGTGAAGAGGTTTAGTGACACTCAGCACCACAGCAGCTCCAGCTCTTATCCGAG